TATATATATATATATATATATATATATATATATATATATATATATATGTGTGTGTTTTATTTGCATAACTTTACAAAGTTTTATACAAAGGTTTTTTACGACTATATAAATATTTGAATATTAGATAGATATTTAAAGATATTATTAATATTAAAAAGTAACTTCTATAAAGGTGATTATTTTTTCCAGCATTTTTTAACTCGTATATATATTTAAATATATTATTTATTTATAACACTTAATTTTATCCTTTGGTTTTGCCTTTTCTCATTTTATTGCCACATGATAATCATGTTGCGGTATTAGAAAACCCAAAAAACAAACACAAAAAAATTGCAATCAATCATAAAAAATCGAAATTATCGAGATGAAAAAAATTCGTTGTATTCAGATTGAGTATGATTTTTACGTATTCTGTGCTACAGAATTTTTATATGAAATCTTGTCTCAATAACGTCTCAAAATCGGTTGATTCGTTCGAGAGATATCGTGAACGAGAAAAAAAACCGAAAAAATGTTTTTTCGGAATTACTCCGAAATTACTTGTTCGATCAAAAGTCAAAAGTTTATCAATTACCACTGCAACTAAGTGAATAATTTTTTAAATGTGCACAATTAATAACACTAACGATGAAACAGAGAAATTAATTTAAGATCTACAGTATCAATTTCAATTATTATTTTAACTATAAATACGTCATTTTATTTTCACGATTCAATTATGAATGATGATTTCGATTATAAATTATAGAAATTGCAGTATACTTTTTACAAAGTTATTGTCGTATTGTCTCAATTTTCTCATATAATATCAACAAGAGCAAAAATAGATAATCTGCATATTTTTATTTCAAGACTCACATTTCCCACTTATTTTGCCGCCATTAGTATAGTATCGAATCCTGTAGTCATTTGTCGCGCTTGCAAGTATTCATACTAACTCTCCTTAACGTGCTGCCCTCTCTGTTTTTGGTGAACAATTTATCGTCCACATGAAAACTACGTCTTATTGTCGAAGCTTTCTTCACAATAGCTCTTTGTTACCACGTTAAGTAAGACGTAGACAAACGTAAAACGCTTTTCGTCGTAGTGCTAATCGTAATTTCATAAAAAAATGCGAAAAAAATTTTCGACTAAAAGTCGATTTACCAGTTACGGTGAATTCTTTCGATCGCTGATGTTTTACCAATATAAAACTGGATTCGTATATAACAAGAACTCATGCACAACGGTCAGTACATGTCGCGTTAATGGCATAAAGCCAAATTTGCGGTATTACTGGGCCCGTTTTTGCTGTTCTCAGGGACCAAAAGGATCTGGAAAAGCACGAGACAAAGAATTACAGTATGTATAATTCTATTATTTTATTCCAATTGAGTGTTACAATTAATAAGTAGCCATGTGTTTAATTAACTTGTGTTTGAATTATCTAAATGAAATATTTTTTTGTTTTCAGAAATAATCCGGATGTTTGTCCCGCAATGTTTATATTGAAAGCAAAGAACAAGAAATACTTGAAAATTTCTGATATTAATGACAAGCACAATCATCCATCGGAATACGTAAGTCTAATTCGTTTTGATTTTGTTTTAAACATTGTAATACGAAAATTAGTTAACAACTATCAATTTGTTTTTATTTACGATGAATCAGTTACACCAAAAAAATTTATTTTAAAAATCTCCACGGATAATTCTTTTTAAAATCTTCCGTTTAGAGTTTTTTTGTTAAATTTTTTTTTATAAGAATTTAATTGCTAAAAAATCATAAGATAATATATAATATTTATTAATTTCAGTGTCCTTAAATATTGATTTAAATTCTTTCGTTTTTGTTTTTCAGGAATGGACTTTTACGGAAAAATCTAACACCGAACAATCTGAAACCAGCAATAAAGTGGTTCGAACAGCAGACAGAAGTGGTTCCATAAAAAAAAAGAAAGAAACCAAGCGAACTCTTCCAGCCAAGAATGCCGCAATTGCAACAGAATCGTTAGAAGAACATGAATCAGATGCCGAAGACATTAATTTAGCGCCGGAGGAGCCTGAGGATCCGGTAGACCTGTCTGAGGCTCTGCCTGTACTTGACGAGATTGTCAGTCAACCAACAGTTCCTGCGAAGTCACAGAAGATTAAGAAACATCTGGTAGACTTGCAAGGAAACAAAGCTGTAAAAAAAAAACATACTTCTAAGGTGACTAATAAAAAAAAACATAAAATTAGTTCCGCGATCATTGGACCAACGGATCCTGCAAAGTTAACTGACTCTGAAGAACACCTTCCCGACCTGTCTGAGGTTCATACTGTGCTTAAACAGGATGACGGGCAACTTACGGATTCTGAGAAGTGTCGCGAGAATGCCGCGATTGAAATAGATTTATCAGAAAAGAACTCAGATGCCGAAGACATTAATTTAGCGCCGGAGGAGCTGGTAGACCTGTCTGGGAAAATAGCCTGGGAGACCTGTCTGGGAGATCACCGGAAGAAGCTTGAGGATCCGACTGTACCTGACAAAATTGTCAGTGGACCAATGGGTCCTGAGAAGCCGAAGGAGCCTGAGGATCCGGTAAAGCTGCCTGAGGCTCAGACTGCAATTGCGAAGACCGTCAGTGGACCAACGGGTCCTGAGAAGCCGAAGGAGCCTGAAGATCCGGTAGACTTGCATGAAGCTCAGACTGCATTTAAGAAAATTGTCAGTGGACCGACGGGTCCTGAAAAGCCGAAGGAGCCTGAGGATCTGGTAGAGCTGCCTGAGGCTCAGACTGCAATTGCGAAGACCGTCAGTGGACCGACGGGTCCTGAAAAGCCGAAGGAGCCTGAGGATCTGGTAGAGCTGCCTGAGGCTCAGACTGCAATTGCGAAGACCGTCAGTGGACCGACGGGTCCTGAAAAGCCGAAGGAGCCTGAGAATCTGGTAGAGCTGCCTGAGGCTCAGACTGCAATTGCGAAGACCGTCAGTGGACCAACGGGTCCTGAGAAGCCGAAGGAGCCTGAAGATCCGGTAGAGAAACGTCCGATAGACCTACAAGGAAACAAACCTATAAAAAGAAAACATACTTCTAAGTTAAGTAATAAAAAAAAAACATAAAAGTAGTTCCGCGGAATGGTATTGTAAACTGTGTGACAAGGGTCAACGTTTTCCAATGGCTCCGTGCTCTAAGTGTGGTGATTCTTGTCACATAAAATGCCTTGCAACAAATGATTTAAATGAGTTGATATGTAACAAATGTTAAACAATTAAAAATGAAAATAAATAAACTACTCATACTTTTAAAGTTTAATAAATTTTCTATTTATTTTAGTAATAAAAAAGTTATTTATAAAAGACATTGTTATCATTAAAAATTTTTATTATAAAAAGATATGAAGAATAAATTCAATTTTCGTTACCGCACTGAGGCAGTTGAATAATCAATTGTTACAAGTAAGTAAATATAGAGTATTTTTATCTGATTATTTCTTCTTTTGTTTTATCAATGACAAGTATTAAAATAGATACTATCTCGTATAATGAATGAGATATTAATTGATTGTTGTAATCTTCTGAAAGTATACTTTTTGGAGCGCTGAGGCAGTACCGATGATTTTTTTGAAAGATCAAAAGGTTCAGTGTTACTATGCGCCCATAGTAAAATTAATTGGAAATTTCTCACCGTGAATGTATTTTCTCTTTTAATTAATAACAAATAGTAATGTCGATGGTATCCTCTACAATATATCAAAAATTAATTAATTATTGTTGCAATCTTCAAAATGTAATTCTTGATGTGTTGAGGCAGTACTAACAATTATGTGCATGAAGTGAATGAAATATAGTTAAACTTCCATAGTTTAAATATTAATTGCAGTTTAAGTTATTCATATTTTCCATAGTTATAAAAATCAAATTTTTTACTCACAATAAGATAGTACTTCTGGCTATAAATAAAAATTAATAAATTATAGCTGCAACCTCCCTAAAATATACTTCTTAATGCGTTGAGGCAGTACAACTAATTGGCTACATGAAACAAATGAAATATACTTAATCTTCCGTAATTTAACTATTGATTCTAGTTATTTAAAGTTATTTATGTCTTCTATAATTATTAAAAAAAAATTCTAATTTTAATAAGATTGAGTAAATCAGTTAAATTATTATTACTACGCTGAGGTAGTCAAATGATGTTATGTTTAAAGTAAGGAAGTATTAAACTTTTTGATAAAATTATTCTTTCTTTTTTCAATCAATCACAAGCAGTAAAATTGATAAGTAGTGAAGTTCATAGGATATCTGACAATAAATACAATTAGTTGATAATAAGCGAATTAAATAGGTATACATATTAGTGAGAGAGTTAAATAATTATATAAGATTAACAATGATGTTCAAGTGTCAGTATTGTCAAATATAAAAAAGCATTTGAGCTTTATAAATTAAATATAAACATTAATAACTTGCAACTGTGGTTACATTGGCAATTCAAATATGTATCTTGTTCATTTTCACTAATTTTGATTTATAATAACCATGTTTTGTAATCATTTAAAATAATTAACATTGGTTTATTAAAAATTTTTTTAATTATCTTAATAATAATTACAATAACAATAATAATTAATTCAGTTCTACAATCTGAAAAAATCGGAAGAGACATTTCAATATAATGTTTAACTTTGGACAACTTCCATCTGATAAACATTTTTCTACGACCAATATTCCCACTGTAATATACAGAATTTGACACCAGTAATTATTAATTGTTATTTTGACATTAAGGGAAGAATCTTGTCCCTACTTAATACACAGTGAGAAAATGAATTTATGTAAAACATATGAAATAATGATTTCTTCTAATGAGAGATCTTTTAATTGCCTTCGCGCAGTAGAGGTAGTTCAATCAATTTACGTGATCTCGTTTTAATGGAATCTTATTTTTCACGATAATAGCCTTACTATTTTATTCAATATAATTTTAAAAAAAATTAATAGCAAAAACTTATCAAAGTGTTATTGTAGCATTTGAGTAAGTATGTAATATCCTAGATGATGAAATTTTTCGACGCTTGAAGACGCCACTGAAACAATTGACAGTCAATTTTTATTAATGATCGTCATATCAATCGTCCCCTTTGATGTTTCGCGAGTTGTATATGATTTTTCTGTATTGTTGTAAACTATTGACAATGGAACAAAATAAAAAAAAAAAAGATACTAATATTGAAGAAAAACCACAGTCCCAAGCGTGGAAGCGAAATTGGGTATCAGGAGGGTTTTCCTATCACGTCAGAAACGGTTGTGAAAATCCATATATAAATAAAAAGGGCCAAACTGTCACGTAAGAAATTTTTCATAGATTAAGTAACAAGTCATTGTGATAGTTTAAAATTAATTATTCATCTGTATTGGTGATTTTTCTAAAAATAAAGTAAATTTCTATCGAATTAGTAGTTGAATAGATTTAAATGCAACAATAATTGCAAATTAATTTTGAATTTCACTGCCTTAAGACAATGAACAAATTACAAAAATTGCCTACCTTAAATAATTATTGTTCATTGCGATAATACATACGCAATGAACGCTTGCTATTACTTCAAACTTAGCTGTTAAACATTGTATATATAATATATATTTATTTTTGCGTAATGGGTTTTGTATGATAGTTACTTGTAAAACTCATAGAAACCCACTAATTTTATAAATGAAAATTTTTCTACAATTCATTACTAAAACATAACGCTATATTTCATTAAGTCTAAATATAATAGGCTATACCCATTTTTTGGACAATAATGACCCACAAAGGCGAAGAATGTTATCGAAGAGTTTTTGAATTTTTAAAACAAAAAATTCCAACATTCAACCCTTCAAGCTATATGTCCGATTTCGAATTTGGGTTGCACAATGCGATAAAAGATGTTTTTCCAAATATTGACGCCAATCATTGTCACTTTCACTATGCTCAGGTAAAATGCACTGCCTCAGCGCAGTAACGATAATTCTATTGATATACTCTGTCTTAATATAGTTTGATTTTTTTTTTCTTTATAACAATTAATGGTATAGAAATAACTTCTTTAGTCTCAAATGAATAGAAAAATAATTTTAAAGTTCAAGTATTTGAAAACTGTTGTTTGTGAAATTGAGCAAATAAAATTTATGTACTCTCTAAACATGAATTAGTGAAAATTCACTAGAATAAGTGAATATTCACTAATTCATGTTTAGAGAGTAGTTTTAAAAATAAAAAAATCTACTAATATCTATCTTATAACTGCTGATACACAATGAGTTGAATATTTGATTTCTTTCCAATTGAAGAGAAATTTCCTCGTTAGTAAGAGGCATTGATTAAGTTCGGATACAAAATCAGAGAATTCTTTTGACGTAAAGCATATTTCGACGTTCTAATTAGCTAATTATCTAACTTCATTTTTAAAAATCTTCCATTTGTATTGTATGAAAAAATAATTAGTTCAAAATTTATTATCATCTTAAAAAACTGTTAAATATGTAATAGAGATATAATATTTTGGTTTGGATTATTCAAATAATTTATAATTAGACTATTGCTACATCAAAATATTAAAAAATCACACGCTAAAAAAAAAGGAATTAGTCCAATTGTTAATTAGACCAGCGATTTGTTTAGTTTGTAATAAAAAATATTAATTCTACGGCATTTTATTCTTTAGGCTCTCATAAATAAATCAACAGAGATAGGATTAATAAACAAGACAACAATTAGACCTGGAACACATCCGGAAATCTACATTGTTGTCAAGCAACTTATCGCTCTGGCACTTTTACCTCCAAATTTGATCAAAATCACGTTCGAAAATATCAAGAGAGTTACAATGGAAACGTTTGGGAACCATTTCGATGGACTCTTTGGTTATTATGAGCGGTATTGGCTGAAGACTGTGAAACCTGAAGGTTTCTCAATTTACAATTTACGAGATGATCGAACAAATAACCATATAGAGTCGTACCACCGAACTTTGAACATGCACCTGCGAAAAAATCCACATCCCAATCAATTTTTTTGTAAGTAACAATTGATTTTCATTATACATTTGTTTTCTTAAGAGACGTTCCCTGATAATGCAGTTTCCAAAATTTCTTCTAAGCAAATAAAAATTTTCAAAGAAATGTTTCTTTCAATCAATGTAAATAAAAGAGTAATGAATGGGAACGGTTCTTAACAAAGTATATCTCTCAAGACTTCAATTTTATTTTATAATGGTTGAAAAGTATTGATTGATATTTAATTAATAAATAAAACATGTATTTAAAAAGAAAGTGATAATATGTATCAAAATTTTCGTTGTAGCACATATTAAATATTTAGCATTGGATGGTAGAACTATAATGAACTCGGTTAAACTCAACAAATACTTCAAAAAAAGCCCGGAACAAAAATACATCGAACGTGACTTAGAGTATAAAAAGTTTTGGAATGAATTGGATGAGGCCATTGAATACATTGGAGAGGAAGAAGTCGATGGATTAGCTTTAATAAATGAACTAAGTTCAATTAAGGAACTTGTAGAGCAGAAAAAAAGAATGATATTGAACAATAATTAATTGAAAAAAGAAGAAATAATTGTAAAAAATTAGTAATACTGCCTCAACGCATTAAGAATAGAGTCATTTGGAGTAAATGTGCGCAGTGGGTAAACGTGCGTAAACCCATTCATTTGAGTCCCGAATACATGGGATCGCGCACTCTTACCAACTGCGCACATTTACCCCAAATGACTCTATACTTTAAGAAGATTGCAAAAATACTTAATTAGTTTATTCTTTATTGTCAGAGATACTATACATTTTACTACCTATCATTTAATAAAAAAACAATTATTAATCGTATCAATTAATCGGAAGAATTAACTGTCTCAGCGCAGTAACAATAATTCAATTGATCAATTCAGGTAGATCTTAAATTAATTTTTCTTTATCATCATTGGTGTTATTACTTGTGCACATTTAAAAAATTATTCACTTAATTGCAATGGTAATTAATAACTTTTGACTATAGTATAAAAAACTATTTATTGTCGTTAATATATAATAGATAAATTATAGAAGTTTGGGTATCTTTCATTATACTTGTATATATAAGTGCTTTCCTCGCGCATCAAAAATGATTTATTAATTAGATTGCAAAAATACTTAATTAATGGATAATTAATTAATTTTTTATTGATTGTAGAGAATACTATCAATTTTACTACTTGTTATATATTGAAAATAGATAAAATAATATTATCAAAAAATTTACTTGCTTTACTCGTAGGATCATTTAACTGCCTCAGTGTAGTAGCAATAATTTAACTGATTCACTCAATGTTATTATAACTATAATTTTGAATTAGAATTTAAATTTTATCTGAGTAACTATTGAAAATATTTATAACGTCAAGAAACTACAATTGATAGTTAAACTATGGAAGTTTAACTATATTTCATTCACTTCATGCACATAATTGTTAGTACTGCCTCAACACATCAAGAATTACGATTTGAAGATTGCAACAATAATTAATTAATTTTTGATATATTGTAGAGGATACCATCGACATTACTATTTGTTATTAATTAAAAGAGAAAATACATTCACGGTGAGAAATTTCCAATTAATTTTACTATGGGCGCATAGTAACACTGAACTTCTTATAGTTCAGTGTTACTATGCGCCCATAGTAAAATTCATTGGAAATTTCTCACCGTGTTCGTGTCAAAAAATTCAAAACTTCTCTACTTTAATCGTAAGATCATATGACTGCCTCAACACAGTTAAAATAATTTTATCGAAACACTCAATCGTATAATAATTTTAATTTAATTTAAATAAATGTTGAGAATATGAATAACTTTTAATAACTGTAATTAATAGAAACATTATAGAACTTTCGGAGTATTTCTTTTGATCTTTCAAAATAATCATCGGTACTGCCTTAGCGCAGAATTTTTAAATAAGTTTTGATTTTACTGCCGACAAGCAGTACATGATAAATTATACAGAGTGCATAAAATTATCAATTATTTTAAAAGATAAATTATTTTCTTTTTTTGTTAATTATGAAAAAAATTGATTTTCCTTTTTAGATCGAAAATACATTTATTTTATATCCTCATTAAATTTTTAAATAATTTTTGATTGTACTGCCGACAAGCAGTACATGACAAATTCTAAAGGGGATGTATAACTATCATTTTTTTTATTATGTTAAACTTTTTTATTTATTTCTAAACATAAAGAATATTAAG